ATAGAGACAATGGAATTAAAATTTAAAAAAATATTGGAAACTTATTCATTTTCTTTATTGTTTAGCTGTCATATTTGATCATAAAATTAAAATAAGCGCATTTAGAAAATGGTTTAGACATGTTAAGTAAAAATTTACGAGATGAAGCATATGCCAATCAACTATGAGAGATAAGAGAGTGTCTTGCAGAGGTATATTTGCTATATAAAAACAGGTATGGGAACCAGCGAAGAGGTGAAATACCTGAGGAAGTAGCATAAGAAGAAACAAATGAAGACTTCGACTCTTGGAGTGCACTTAATAGGCCAAAGAGGACCCGAACCCAAAGGACAACCTCCTCTTAAGTAGTATCAACAACGAATGTACTATCCTTCATGCAACTACAGAGTAATGAGCTTCACCAATATTTGAGAACCCGCGACGTGCTACTAGCAGATCCACAATAAAGAGCCAACTTTGATGGCTTAGAATATTGGAAAACCATAAAATGTATTTTTTTGGTATTATCAAGACTTGGCCTGGATGTTTTCTCTATTCCTGTCTCAACTATCTTATCCAAACAAACATTTAGTGCAAGTGGAAGAATTTTAAATGAAAAGAGGACTAAATTTCACAAAAAATGATTGAAGTCCTCACATGTCTTCAAGATTGGGAACGGTCACGCCATTAGGATCAATACGAGATTGTCGAGATACTTTAATAGAATCATTTCAATTTTGTAATATAGATGATACAGATGAGGGAGGTCCTAGTCAACCCCCAAATTAGTTGTTTTGTAAATTGTAACTTTGTAATTTGTAAATTAATTGTCAATTATTGCACTATTTTTTCCTTACCAAGTTTTTGTCCCAATTGAGTTTTTCTTGGTAAGGTTTTTAACAACGCAATAATTGTTGTAATTTCTTATTTTATTTTTTGATAAATGAATAAATCTAATTTTTCTTATATTACAATTTAATTGTATTAAAATTGAATTAATATTTGCAATGTTAACAAAAAAAAATTAATTTAATTGAATTATTGATATTTAAAAGTTAGCTAAAAAAAATGACACAAAAGAAAAATAAAATCCCTGCCAGACCGGCCCGGCCCGTTCTAAAACCCGTCGGGTTAGGGTTGGCAGGCCGAGTTAGGCCCGACCTGCCATTTTGCTTAACCCGCCACAGGCCGAGCTGGGTGGGTTATTTTCCACCTTTAGCTATGAGTGGGAATGAGGACATAGATATACCACCTCCCCAAAGGCTAGTGATAAAGACTCAAATGTGAGACTTACTTGAGGCTGAATGAGCTCCTTTCTGCCAAAGCCCACCTTTCGGGATTTATTCTCTTTTATTATGACAACCCCAATATATAAATTTTTCAAATGAAAAAAAGTGGGCACATTCAGGTAGTATATATATATAAAGCTTGGGTTAGTGCATTTTAAAAACACTTATATTTATATTTTGAATTTCTTGCCTTGCTTTTCTAGTGTGTCTCTCCATAAGGACCTTATGTTGGTGGCCTTAGGGTTGACGGCATCATGATCTTGCATTGATGAACCAACATAATATATCGTGGCTTTAATGCTAACAATGGTTTTGGTTTAACCACCCACTTCACAACCACCGTAATAACACAAAGAAACCCGGAAGAATCACCACCACCACAAAATTTTACAAATTCAACGTGTTGAGATTTATTTTTTGAAGTAAGGAGTTGAAAGATTGATTATTAGAAAAGTTGGGATTCAGATGTTACTTGTGGGGGAGACAAATTTAAATGTAAAATGAAATTCCAATTTTACCCTCATAAAGCAATGTGAGATTTCCTTTACAACCTCCCATTGTTAATTCGTTGTGAATGTCATCAAACCCTAGGTGGTTTATGTCGTATTTTAAAACCTAAAGGGTAGTGTTTGAAGAATATATTCAAATCTAATAAAAAAGTAGCAATTTTTTAAAATCTTGAGGGCAGTTGTTTAAATTAACCCAAAATAAATCAGCAAAAAACACCTAAGACCCTAAACACTGCCGTTTAATGTTCATACCTTGACACTTATTTACGAAATAAAGAGGGCAGAGGCGGATTAGGGTTTGGAAGAACAGTCTCCGCCATTATAAGAAGTCACAACATCGGGAGCCAAACTTGACGCCGCAGAGATTTTCTCATTGAGCTGTGAGATGAGAATAAAGTAGGGTTCGTAACATTTGTCTATATGTTTTTTCTTAAATTCTAAGCATCGAACAAGTATAGCTATTAAGAGAGTGATGAAATTACTGTGCGAACGCAGCTCCATTAATGGTGCTATGAGCGGCACTTTTCCACACGAGATTTCTGACTCTTCTTTGGTTCATAAACCTTATATAAACAATAAACTCACCTCCAAGATTTATTTATAATTTCTAAAGAGTAAAGAGTTTCTTCGGATCTCGCAAAGAAAAGGTAAGGTGTTTGGAAGCGAATTTCTTTAGATGTTATTAAGATTGGCTGAATGGATTTGCTCATTCCTTCCTCGTATGTTTTCGAATTGTAAACAATTTTTGTTTTTTTAATTTTTTCGATTCAAATGTTTTTCTCTTGTGTTTTTGACAAAAAAAGGCTTTCTCCACAAGCGCTTTTTTTTTTTTTTTTTTTTCTGATTGCTTGTAAATTTTTGTCAAATTAGGATCCATTTCATAATTTGCATCTCCAACTTTTGTTTTAACTCTAAACAGTATTTCATCTGCTAAAGTTTGATCCACATTTATTATATTATATTATATTGTCGGGTGTAAAAATATGATAAATTTTTATTCGTTTGGTTCAAAAAGAAATTTGAAGACTAAGACAATCAATATTTTTAATAAGTAAAAATATTTTGTAAAATTATTTTTATATCTAAAATAATATTATATTAAAATTGAGAAACAAAATGTTATTTCATTTTAATAATACAGTATATATAATGTGAAATAAAAAAATATTTTCTAATTATAATTTCAGTAATAAATAGATAAAAAATTAATAATTGTTGGAGCTTACATTATAAATTAAAAAATAACAATAATAGCGTAATTTATAAGATTTGATTTATTGAATTTTGATCTTGTGGAAGAATGGTGAGAGTTTTTTTTTATTTTTTTGAGATGGTGACTATAGATTAAAAAAGAAAAAAAGTTGGGTTTTATTTCGAAGGATATATGGTGAAGTTATAAAAATAATGTGAGGATATATTTGACATAAAAATGTTTTAGAAAAGCGTAAAAGAGCTTATGTGAAAAACAAATTTTTAGCTTCTCCTGTAAGTGTTATAAAAAATGTAAAAACTGAACCGAACTGAAAAAACGGTTTAATTACGGTTCGAAAAATTTTAAAAACCAAATTTTCGGTTCAAAAAAAATTATAAACAGTTAATTAAAAATCGGTTTTTCAAAAAAAAAAAAATATATATATTATTATAGTAAATAAATAAATAATAACCTAAACTAAAATAAATCTCTAACTCACTCAATCTAAAATCCCAACCCAAATTTTTTTTCTTAATTCATAATGTATTGTCTATATTTACAATTTAATTTAGGACAAAATAAAAAAAATAAAAAGTTTTATAAAAAAAAAAGGGAAAACCGGTTAACCACTTTTTTTAAAATGGTTAACCGGTTTTTCGATTAACTGAAAAATCGGTTTTCCCTAAAATCGGTTCGGTTTCGGTTCGAAAATTTTCTCGAATCGAAAATCCGATTCGGTTTAGAAAAACGGTTAACCGCTTTTGAACACCCCTATCTGTAAGAATGACAATAGTTTTTTTTTTTTTTAATTGTATAAAACACTTTTAAATTACAACCAAACAACCAAAAAAAAAGTGTATAAGATTAAAAAAGTTCTTTTGGCTATAAAAGAAGCCAATTAAACGGGTTCATATTTATTGCTTCCTCGAATCTTTGTGTTTGCAAAAGCTAATGTCTAAACAAAATTGTTGACAATAAAGTGTATTTCTCCTTTAAAATAATAATAAAATAAAAATCGAGGCAGAAAAAAAAAAAAAAAAAAAAATAAATTCGGTGGTTGCCAAATTTGAAAAGCTTTGAGTTTGACCTAAATTTATAATTATAACACATGTTTTCAGTAATACAAAATTATCAACATCTTCTTACTGTAATTGTATGCAAAAATGTATATTCATGAATCATGCTGCTTAAAATCCTATTACAGGGGTTTAATGTAATTTAACGCAACAATGTTATGTATTTTTAAATTTATCAAAATTTTATGTAATTATGGATACGGGCTTATACTATTTTCATACATAAAAAATACTTTTCACACCTATTTTATTATGTATCAAATTTATTTATTTTTTAAATTTCCGAAAATATTTTTTATAATATTCAATTAAAAATTAATCTAATTTTTTCAATAAAGATATGACATAAAAATCTAATTATTTTTTAATGATATTTGGCAGCCAATTGAATTCCATGAGGCTTTTTACTTTGTAATTCAAATTGGTCAAAGACTTGTGTACACGTATCATAATCATACTGTTCAAGCCCACTTCTTCCTTCCTTCTTTACAACGATCGGATGGTGTCAATTGGAAGATTAATAGTCACTGCGAAGATTTCAACTAACGAAACACATGAATCCACTCACGCTCCAGGGAGATTCTCCCACGTGGCACAACTCAAAAGACCTTATCCATTGTAGAAAAGCAAGACCCGCTCTTACTATCAGCCAAAACCATTTCCACGCGCTCCCTCCTTCTCTCACAGTCACAACTGAGCTCAATTACCATAGTACCCTTTACATACTAACATGTCAAGCCAACCCAGCGAGTTATAACTTTTTTATACACGACGACGAGAAAGTATGACTTCACAAAGGAACGCCGTCGTTTTAAGGAGCGGGAAAAACTGCTTTCTTTGAAGTTTAAATGCCAGTTCAAATTATTTTGGAGCTCAACGGCAACGAAGCGTCTTTTTTAAGTTTTTTGAAATAAATTATACTAATCTGACTCTCTCTCGTTCAAATTATCGTTGAATGGAAGAAGAAGACGACGAGATTATGGATTATCATTCTATGAAAAGAAAGCAACTTCAAGCGCTGTGCAAGCGCCATGGTGTACCGGCCAATTTGTCGAATTCTGAGATGGCAGATCTGTTGTGTTTGATTTTCAAGGTTATTTCTTTTTTGTTTTTAGTTTCATATATGACTTTTTGTGGTAATTTTTTTTTTTTATTTCTTGAGTTATGTTTTTGTTTGTTTGTTTGGTTGCTGAGAAAATGGAGGAATTCAAATAAGGCTGGAATTTTGAGTTACGTTTTCACTGAACGTTAGTTTAAAGGAAATAAATGAGTTAAATTGATATATAGATCGAGATTTCATGATTGATTTTTAATTGTGTTAAATTTTTATCAGACTTATGTTCTGTTTAGTTGCTAGGAAAATGGGGGAAAACTAATCAGAGGCTGGAATTTTTTGTTATTTTTGTGGGATGAACTGGTGGAGTTAAGAATTTGTATTTCTTTTTAATTTTTTGTTGATTTGATGAAGTTAGATTCATGATATTTGGCTCTAATTATTTAATTTTAACAGGAAAAGCAGAAAGTTGTTTCACGAGGCAAGTCTTCGCTGAAAAATTCTGCGAAGAAAGTTAATGGAAAAGATTCTAAGGTTGTGAAGAAAGTGAGATTTAGTCCTAAAAATCAAACGATGTTTTTTGAGGTTTCAGGGTATAAACGGGCTGGTAGAAGAAGGGTTTCAATGAAGTCCTTGACAAAAAATCAGAATCAAGCTATTGAAAGTGAAGTTTCGTCACCTCCTCCTGTTGGGAGAAAGAGAGCGAGAAGAGATCTGAAGAAACCAACTGCGGAGCTGAGCGTGAAGAGTGCGGCTGACACTGATGGTAATGGCGTTAGAGGTGTAATTGTCGGGGAAGATGCCAAGCTTAAAAAATTGAATACGGGTGGGAGGATCACCAGGTCTCGGGCTCAGTTTGTTGGTGAAGTGTCTGAGAGTGGAGAGGTTCATCAACTCGAAGAACCTTGTAATGTTGTGGGTAGAGATGCTCTTACTGGAAAATCTGCTGTAACCCGGAAAGGGAGAGTAGGAAAAGAAAGCCTTTCCGTGGATGGTGCAGAATCTGACAGGGTTTTGCAGCATAAGAAGCAAATTGTAACGAAGGATGAAGGCTCTGAAATGTTGCCTGAGAATTCAGGAATCCAACGTTTTAGTAGGAGAACAAGGTCTCAAACAAAACATGAAGTGGCTGTTTCTAATGCTGAAAGTGAAACTGAGGAAGTGACCGTTCAGCTTGAAGAACCTGTGAGGAGTCTTGGCCGATATGCTTCTAGAAGGAAATCTGTTGTGGTCCAGACGGCTAAGGTAGGGAGTGAAGGACCTGGGGTGAAAAAAGAGACTAGTAAAAGATTAAGAAGTATTGATTTGGAAGACTCTTCTGAGCTTGAAGTAATTATAGAACCTAGTCAAGAACTTGAGAAGGTTGAGAATGTTGTTATTCCCAGTGGCCCTTCGAGGAGAACCAGGCGGAACAAGTCAACTGTTCCAAGTAGTGGAGAGTTGGAAACCCGTCAAACTGTCGGACAGAAAGATACTCGTTTGACGATAAAGCTTCCAAGGAGGTCTAGTAGGAATGTTGCAGAGGTTGCTGAACCAGATGAAGTTTTGCAGCAAAAAGAACAAGATATTACAAAGGATGAAGACCCTGAAATATTGAGTGGGAAGACAAGAAAATTTAAAAATATCAGTAGGATCAAAAGGTCTCAGACAGAAACTGCAGGGAAAGCTTCTGCATTGGAAAGTGAAATTGAGGAAGAGAATGTGCAGCATGAAGAACCCTCCAAGGGTCTTGGTAGATATGCTTCTAGACGGAAATCTATTTTGCACCAGAAGAGAATGGCGGAAAATAACGAATTTCAGGAGAAAAAGGAGACTAGGAAACGATCAAGCAATACTGATTTGGAAAGAGCTTCGGAAGCAGTTGTAGAACTTACTAAAGAAATTGAGATGGTTAGAAATGTTTCCGATTTCAATGGGCCTTCAAGGAGAACCAGGCGAAACACTGTAATGTTCAAATCTAGTGCTTCAATTGATAGAGAGTTGGAAACTCATCAAATTGTTGGACAGGAAGATGCTTTGATAAAAGATCATACAAGGAGGTCTACTCGAAATGCTTCTAGGAACCAATCAACTGTAATCTCTTCTGAAGTGGGCGGAATTTCTCATGACGTCGGAAAGGTTAGGCAGCTGAAACGAAGGCGAGAGCCAGCTCTGGATGAAGATATTTCTGTGACCAAGTCCAAAAGTTTTGAAGAAAAACCCCAAAGACGATCTGCACGAAATGCCTCCAAAAATGACTTCGTGGAACCTGAGAGACCAACAGGTAAAGTTGCTGGAAAGAAGCATCAGAACAGGTCTAGAAAGACAATGGTGGTGCAAGAGGTTCCATCTTCTGATAAGGTTTTGTCTCCAGAAGATCCAATAATTGAAGATGTCAGACTGGTTGGGGCAGAATCCGCAAGGAACAAAGACAATCTCGACGCAAGCAGTAGCAAACAAGTACTTAAAAGTTCTAGCAAGAAGAGGAACGCATCCCAGATAAAAGTTAAAGCAAATAAGAAACTTGGTTCTGTTCAGGTTTCCACAGTAAATTCTGACCCAGAGAAGGCTGTAGATACTGCTGTTAATTCAGAGGAAACTCTGGACTCAGCACTAGTAAAGCAGCCAGCTGTTTCTACAGACCATGTTACACTGAATTCCGCGAGCTCATCTACAGTTGTTCTTGAGAAGCAGCGCAGTTTGGTGGGAGATGACAAAATTGAACGTCTCCTTGATGAAACTGTTGATAAGCATGAAATAAAAATTGACTTTGGCAATGTGATTTCTTCTGAAATTACATCTCCAGCTGCTGGTCTCTTACCTGTGAAGCAATCAAATGATTTGGGTGAGTGATCTTTTATTTGCTTTTGTTGTTTTTAATGACAATGTTACATTTCTTCGTTAGTTGCTCACTGTGTTTGTAACAATGTGCAGCAAAACCTTTGAACACCACAGACTTGGATAAAGTACTTGAAGCGGAAGAACCGTCATTTGGAAAAACCATAAACCATGGAAGTAATAATGTGGATGACCATAAAAACGAAGATGACAGAGCTTCAGTTCAAGAATGTCAGAGCTTACAATTAGAAGACGGGGAAGAGACTAGTGCTGCACCAGTCATTCAGGAGGCAGTTTTTGAGGACCATCTGGATGAAGTCAGTAGAAGCAGCTCAGAGAAAAAGTCTGAACTTCCCCAGGAAGCCGAAGAAATAAATGTAATTGATCCTTTCAATGCAGGAGGAAACTCTCAGTCAGAAAATTTTCTCCAGGCTATCGAAATCCAAGAACTTCCAGCAGAATCCCATCTTGTTATCATTGAAACTGCAACCGAATGTACTACAGAAATCCAATTGACCTCACCTGTTGCTAATGCTTCTGAGGCGACTTCTTGTAAACCTGCATTAGAGAATGAAGGTCATCAACATTCCTTATAAGTGTGATGTTTCAGACATTTGAAAGCTATAATTTCTTTTAAGTAGTTATTATCATTTCATCAAGCCTTTGATTTGACTATTTGTTGGTTTTGGATCTTACAGTTTTTGTCAAAGTGAATAATCGCCCTGCTGATGCTCTTATTGCGAGCAATGATGCCATGGAAGGTTAGTCCCTTACTATCCCTAACTAATTGTGTGCTATGACATCCCTGAGGATCCTTTTGAATTAATTCTCTTTTTTTGTATGTGCAGAAGTGAATAAGGCCGAGACTCAATCTGTTTCTCTATTGACAGTGCTAGAAATAAGCAATGAAAATGGTATTCGAAAAGAAGAACTATCTGGCAAGGGAATAGAATTTTCTGATGAGATCATATGCAGAGGTGAAACATCTATAGGTAATGCAATTTGTGGTCTAGCAAAGACTGAAGATGGTGTGACAATTAACAAGAATGAGCCAGACGAAGCAGTTCCTTATGAAAGAGCATCACAAGTTGGTGAAAAGAGTATTGATGATGGCTGTGAAGAAAACTTGTTGGTGGGTGGCAGTTCCATTTTCAAGACACCTAATAAAGATGAAACAAATTTAGAACATGAGGTCGCAGCGGCATACTCTCTAGATTCTGTGGAGAAAGAAAAGGAAGACTCAGGGAATAACTCTGATAATGTTTCTGTGGAGACTAGACAGAGATGCATGCACAAACTTTCTGATGCAAAAGATGTCAATCTGACCATCACAGAAGAGAGGGTTACTGACGTACTGAAAAAGACTTCAGCTGCTAATCTTAATTTGCAATGTGTGGACACATCCTGAATAACTTTCATTGATTTTTTTTATTGGCTTGTTTATGTTTAAAACAACTGCTTCTTGTCTTTGTTGCAGCTCCTGCTACTGCTGGCAAAGTCAGCTTCCCTGAGCTCTCCCTACTAAAAAGTCATGACGAACATGGGAAAGGTTAGTGGCATAGTCAAAATCTTGTTTTGTAATGCTTTGATTCGTGACATACTAACACAGGTGAAAAGTATAGTCCTAGATCCGAAAGAATGGATTAGAAGTGGTTAAATCTGTTTTCCTTTGACTAAGCAAATGGCCTTTTTTTCTTCTTTGCAGTTTCTAGTAGTGGTTCTAAAAGTTCATCTTGCAAGGGTAAGCAGCCGATGCTCGATGACATGCCGAAACAATTGGAGGAAAAGATTAATGAGGATGCTAGGAATGTTTTTGAGACAAAAGTACAATCAGAGTATTTGCCTCAATTTGCTATAGAGGAGTTGCCCGAGGAGGGTGATATGAAAGATGCCCACAGCACATATGGCAAAGTTCATGACTTTGTTAAGAGCGCAGAACTACAAGTTAGTGCTGACGGTAGTTCTGGTAAATCATTTCCGTTGGACAAATCTGATGCTGCAAGTGGTTCAGAACTTGATGGTCATGTAGAATTGGCTGGGGAGAGAAACTGCACTGTTGGTATTGTTGTTGAGCAGACTGCTGACGTTGTCAAGGAGGAAAAGGCAGAGTCTGAGTTAAAAGTGGAGCTTGTTGACAGAAGTGATCAAGAGAATGTAGCTTCACAGGTGAATGAAACTGCTAGTACAAGTTTGACGGAGATCATATCTAAAGAACGTGAAGTTCCTGTTGAGAAAGCAGCTGAAATAACTGTAAAGCCTACTGAGTGCAGTGGAGCAGTTGACGATATGAAGGTGGAAGAATTCAAAGCTGAAGATACAAATTCTAATGCTGAGGTCAATGATGTTGGTGCTTTAGCACAAGTTGTCAGTAATCACCTGGTTGAAGAGGAAGCTACTGAAAGTCATGAAGGTTCTATTGAAATGATTGAAACTGCAGCCGAGGCAACAACACAGGCATTGGCCACGAAAACAATGGACTTCTCAGACGCAGACAATGGTGAGACTTCAATACGAATTTGTCCAGTGACTGATAAGACATTTAGATCCGAGTTTGAAGACGTTAATGATCTTGCTCCAGGTTTAATGAATAAGGTCACATCTGCCAATTATAAAGATGTAGAGACAAGGTCGAATGAAAATGTGAGCGCAGTGCCTCACATTGATAAAACAAAGTTTGATGATCTTGATAATTACAAAGAAGAAAATGTCTTGGAGCTGGAAAGAAGTGAATCCTTATCTTCAGATGAACTTATTTCCCTGGATGACAGAGCTGCAGATAAGGAAGCAAACGTAGGAGACAGAGATGGGAATTTAAATTTCAGGGATAATGATATTGATGCTCAGCAGGAGGACAACGTTGATACCATTCTACAAGTTACTAAAAGCAATATGGATGATTGCTTGCTACGAGTGGGACTTTATAATGCCAGTGCAAACATTGGAGTTGCAGCAGATGATGCTGGTGAAGCGTCCATGAACGAAAAGGCATGTTCTCAGAATACTGAGGATGGCAATGAGTGGGTTGGGACGCCAAATTTTTCACAGACCATCAAAAGCGGAACAAAATTGGTTGAGAAAAACTCAGCACAAGGCAAACTTGAAATGGGTTCATGTAGTGCTACTGGTCCACATTTGAGTGTTTTACCATTTCCTGGTTAGTATTTTTGCTCATGAAGTGTGAACTTATAATTAGTTGGATTTTTTTTTTTTCAAAATTCCATGATTAAACACCGTCGATACTAAATCTTTAATCATAAAGTTGCTGACCCTTCTATTTGTTATAGGAATTGATGCCACGGACATGGATTCGCACTTTGAGATAGATGATCAAGTAAAACAGAAAACGAGGAACGAGGAAGACAAAGAAGGCTCAAATGACTCTGTAGAAGGTAATGAGCAACTCGATGACCACAAGTGTGAATTACTAGAGACTGCTTCCATTGATGAAAATGATAGCTCGACTTCAAAGGAGCCTTCATGCAGTAACAGAGAAAAAAGCATTGCCAAAGTGGGTGAGGAAGGAGTTTCCTCTGAGAAGCTCTTTGGCATGGTTGCCACTGCTGACACTAAAAAGTTGTATCCTATTTCTTCATCAACACCTAGAATGGCTGCTGATTGCTCTGCTTTTTCGCCAATAATTGTTCATTCCAACTATGGTAATTACTAGCTGCCTTAACATAAAATAGAAGTATTAAATAATCTTAGAAGATGAATTCTCATTGATCATATTCATCTGATTGTTTACCAGGAATAACCGAAAACAAATCCTCCGGATTCCACATTGACTCTCCCCGGCTCACCAGTTGGGAAATGAACAGGATTTTAGGGAGTAGGGATCAAGTTGATGTTGAAGAAGAAGCTTTAAGGATCTCGGGAGCCATGGAGATGATAGAAAATTTAGTGACTGACGAACAAGGTGAAAAGGAGCTCCATGCTCACCCAGCTGTTTTAGATGAACCCATCTCTGATAATGAAGAATCTAAAGAGCAAAATGGACTCCCTGCAAGCAACCAAGAATATGTTGATTGTGAGTTTGAGAAGGATAAATTTTATGTTTCTGCAGAAAAGGTTGTGTTGGTAGAAGCTGCTGCAACCGGTGACAGCGTCATTGCTGATTTGGATAAAAGCATGGCAGAATACGCTTCTGTTGAATCTAAAGAAGCAGATAACATTGTTGTTGATCCTGGTGTTTTTAATTGCAGCAGATCAAGAGAAGTTGCAATGGACATTGTTCACAGAAAAGCCTCAAAAACAATAGATATGCTAGAGGAGGTTGAACATCTAGGAATCTTGCAACCGGTTGAAGATTGTGAAAATACTAACGAAACATCAGATGAAGTCGCTGAGACAATCCCTCAGCATATGCTCTCCAGTGGCAGTAAGTTGGAAAAGCAAAAAGTTCTCATCAATTAAATTATTTTTCTGAACCATTCGTAGGTAGCCCTGATGTTTAGGGCGAATTGGGGATAATTTGGATATGCACACAATCTTTGATTCGATTCTCTATCTGAGCATCTCTGATTTAAGTGGAGGGCCGTGGCGGTGGGTTGTTGCGTTATTCTCCCCTAAGGATTAGTTCAGATGCGTGTAAACTGGTTCAAACACTTTGGTTACAAAAAAGAAAAATTATTTTCTGAAAAATCTGATATAATCCTGCATATTGCAGTGATTATCTCAACTTACTAAACCAAAAATGTTTCTTTATTTCATGTTGTTGAATCTTATCTACTGAAATCATAACAAGCATTGACTTAATTGTTGTTTATAATAGAAGCTAATATACATTTTGATTCATCAATAATATAGGCAGTTACCAATATCATCCTTATTAATATATCAACTAGAAAAACAGTAGTTAATCATCATTTTTGTTGAAATGCAGAAGCAACTTCCGAACGTGAGGTACACGGTGAAGAATACTGCAATGGTGCAGAAAGACCAGAAATATTTAATGAAGACAGAGGTATGGTCTTTTAAGGTTTAGAATTTAGGTCAGATTTAGCAGCCATATGCACAATAAACACTTTGATTCATTTTCTTTATTTTACAGACAAGAGTTGCAGAGACGTCAGGGAAGATAATGAAGCTGCAACAGGGACATGTGATACAACAGACGGTTTTAGTGTAGAGAATAATGCCAGAGATTCTCAGGAAGGTGTTAAGGACCAATTTGACGAGAATGAACGTGCTGCTGCAAATGAAGCCAATTCCAAAGATGGTGTTTTTTGTTTGGCGTTAAACCAACCTTTATGTGATGATGACAAGAATAAGGTTCATGCAGTAGAGACCGGTGAAGATGGGTTATGTCGTCAACATGATGAGGTTGTCACAGCTGCTGACTCGAAGGAATTAGTGAATTTGCAAAATATGAACGTTGCCTATACGATAATACCTGAAATTGATGTTGACTGTTCAGGTGTCTCCCCACTTGCTGTTTCTTCTAAATATGGTACGCTCTAAAAGCCTAAGTGTGTATAAGTTTTAACCGGTAAAAGTTACTAACCAAATTGTTTTACATCTCTGGCTATTACAGAAGAATCACATGTATTCACCAGACGTGAAATGAACTTGTTTTCGGGACCTGGAGAGCACGATGAAACTGAAAATTCAGATGCACGGGCCTCAATAAGTGAGGATGCCAGGGAAATAAAAGAAAATAAAGTGATTATTGAACAAGTAGCACCTCCACAAGTTACTGAAGAGCACCTTCATGAGCATGAAATGGCAGAGGAAGATTTAAAAGAGCCAACCTGTGAAATCGGCAAAGTTTTGACAGAACAAGAAGATGAGCAAATCATCCATGGCACTCCAAATTCATCTCCTGCAAGAGGTACTGCAATGTTTTCGAGTAACTTTAAGCAAAAAAGACTAAAGACTCAGTTTGAATAATGATTTACTAGCTTTCTTGAGTTGCTTCACAGAAACTGCTCCTGGAAATGTATGGAGAAGGGAACTAAACTTACTATCTCCGGGAAACAAATGTCCAGATACAAAAAGGGGCAGCAAGACCTTTTTTGCGAAGAAACTAAATTCTTCAATGAGGAAACAGAACAGTAAAAGTGCTTTGATTCAGAAGACGCCGAAGCTCCACCTACATGACATGAAAGAAAATGCATTAAGCGCCATGAGAGGGAAAACAGGTAATATCACTACACAAAAAGCCTTGTCAAAGAGGAGAGCTCTGGGGGATCTCCAAAAGAAATAGATCTTGCCAGTTAATTGGATTCCTTTTTGAAGAATTCACCTCGTTTCTGGCAATGCATAGCTTTTTCTTGAATAGAGATCAGAAGTTGATATCTTGTCAGCGAAGAAATATTATCATTTTGTGTATTGATTGGTAGGAAAACTGTCTGATTAAGAACTTTACAGCAATTTGATCATGTTTATTTTTATACTTCCGGTTCAATTTATCGAACTTTTTTCACAACTTCGACATAATAGTTTATAATTGATCAGTTCGATATAATCATCTACAATTGATCAGTTATTAATGGGTTCTATCTATTCAATTACGAAATTATCATGTAGAGATTGCAAACCAATCTTTATTGTTTTTTATTTTATTAATTTGGGTTTGTAATTAACTAAACATTCTGGTATTGAAATTCATGAGAAATTTTAATTACAATCCAATTCCAAGTGAAAATCACTCTGAAAACAAGTCTTGAGGTGACACTTTGTACCAAAGTTCTTTAAAGAAGGGCATATAATTATGAATGAAACTAACTTTTTTATGTTCACTTTGAGATTACAGGCATCATCTTATGAGTTCAAACCTTAAACCAACAAAATCACATGTAGAAAGTAAAAAAGAAAAAAAAAAAAAAAAAAAGAATGAATGAAAAGCTTTGGCAAAACAAATATCCATCTCAAACCACCCCAATCCTTTCTGTATCTACAAACAACCCGCCACCATTTTCCTTTGCGGCATATCTTCTTTTAAGTTTTCTGGCGAGCAACAGTACACCGTGTTATGTTGTGTCTTCGCCTTCAACCGAAAAATGTAGCCTGCTTATGTAAATATCAAGATACTTCTACATGAATGAAACTTTAACATTCTAAACTTTCTATACGCGTATCTCAGTTGCAATCCAACCCACAAACTTCTAATACAACCCCGCCTCTCGACACGAATGGGTTGACTCTTGCCCATAGAAGGGAGAAAATTGAAGCCAAAAGTATTGACCAGACAATAATGATGGTTGGAATCCTGTTTTGTTTTCCCATGAACCCTTTGAGGAATGGGTAAAGATGGACGATGACCCATAAGGCGAAAAAGAGTCTACCGAAGAGAGGACCCCATGAATCATAACCATTACTGATGGCATCTGCAACTCCGACTATGACTCCAATTATGTTTATGATTAACAAAGTCAAGGGAGGGATCAATAAAGATGTCCACTTGAAGAAGTAGAGCTCAGAATATTCTCCATCATCGGCTGCCTTGGAGGTAACAGTGAAGTTTGTGTTGACTCCAGCCAACACCTTGAGCAGACCCTGGAAGAGAGCAAATAAGTGTGATGAGACGCCACCAATCACCCAGAACTGCTCGTTTCTCCACCAGTCATGTATGCCAACCCCTCCCCATTGCATTTCGAGGATGCTAGTTGCGGCAATGGATATGAACATAGCCATGAAAACGATACTGGCATAGTTGCTAATCTGCAAACCACATAAAACAAAGCCTTGAGTGGACGTCTTTCTTGAAAGATATCTGTCTAGCTAGTGCAAAGAGGACCTGAAGATATGTAAATGGTTGGAGCCAAAATATCTCCCAACCCACATATGTTAATTAAAAAAGTACTTAATTTTTCTGATATGGGAAAAAGTAAAATAGACTGAGCATGTTCCCTAAACTACAGAATGATGTGCAATAAGAAATTTACCGCGGGGACAATGAACTTCCCAGTAAGGAGGCAGATAGCTGGCAATGTACAATATACGATCAAGGGAATGGATGTCAAGGGGTAAACAACTGAGTTTATATACGAGAAACGCTCCAATGGTTTCAAACCGCACCCAAACCCATACCATATCGGACAATGCCTGCTAAAAAAGATCTCCACAGATCCCAAAGCCCATCGGAGAACCTGATGTAGACGATCTGAAAGGTTAATAGGAGCTGAACCCTTGAAAGCAGGCCTTTTGGGTATGCAATAAACTGATCGCCAACCATGGCAATGCATTTTGAAACCAGTTAATATATCTTCTGTAACAGATCCATATATCCACCCAACCTGAAACAAATTCAAATTTAGATATCATGACAACATACTGACATAGATGTCAATCATGGTAGAAAAAACTCATAAAGCTACAAAACTTTCAACAGTGACTGCATACCTCTTTACCCCATTCCGTTTTGTCCTCGTAGCCACAGCTAATCACATGTATCGCTTCTTTCAAGAGTGCTGCTGATGAAGCTCCTCTCGGAACTCCACCATCTTCCATAAGTGTTGAAGCTATGAAAACAGGTGATTGTCCAAATTTCTTCTCAAACTTTATTTGGGACATCAGAGCTGACTTTTCATTATCTACTCCTGTCACACAGTACAATAGCAACATTAATGACTTAGGTTTATTACAATCTAGCAGAGAAAATAATTCTTGATTTCTTATGCTCACAGACTCCACAATCCAGACTAATGCTCTAAATATGGAGAGATTTGAGCTATTTTGTGAAGAAAAGTAACCATGACAAATTGCATATCTTTTGTTCATTTTGGATTATTAGCTATTTTAAACTGCTTTTATAAGATTTTGTAGATGATACTTTGGTTGCTAATTGAAGCCACTTCTCACCTTCAATTCCCTCCTCAATATTTTCAAGTGCATGTATCTGCTTTAAAGTCTCCTTGTTCTTCTTCTTTTTCTCATTTGCCTTCACCTTTTTATTTCTCCTTCTTGATTTGCAACAACCGCAGCACCATTTCGGAAAGCAATTACAGGTCTTCCTTGGAGGTTTCTTCTTGACAGGGGCATCGTATCCATAGAGTGCCTGCCTCCTGAAGACACACCCAGTTCCAACATAAATAGGCCCCTGGATCCCGTCCAATCCTTTCATGTTGATCTATATTAAGTTGTGAAAAGGTATTAGATTCTCTCAAAAGCCAATTCAAAAGCAAATCAAGACTTACTATACTACCAAGATCATTACTTACATCAAAGAATACAACATTGCGGTTAGAGTATCTATCATTACGATCAATTCCGTCAAATCTTTGAGGAAATTGCACATAACAGATTTTCTTTCCTGATGTGGGATCCATCATGAAGCACATGGCTTCACGAAGTGCCTTACTGTTATTTATATAATGATCACAATCAACATTCAGCAGGTAAGGAGCATTTGATATGATTGCTGAGACTCGGATCTGAAGCCACAACAAAACGAACAATTAGAGAAAGGAACAAACAAAAACTAATAGCAGTATACTTCAGACAAGAAAAACAGAGAGAGAGAGCTCTACCAAAGCATTCATGGCTCCAGCCTTTTTGTGGTGATTAAATCCTGGTCTCTTTTCACGAGACACATAAACCAAACGAGGTAATTCGTTTCCTTCAATATCACGAACCCCATTATGGCCAAGGAAGACCTATTGAGAGGAAAATAAGAGACACTATTAAAAGAAGAAACTTTTATATCTTAATATGTACAATAACCAAATGAGCATATGGTATCTGGCCTCACCTGAATCATGCCAGGATGATCCCTCACATTGTTCCCTGGCCATGGAGTTCCATCCTGCATTGTCCAACCATCCTCAGGAACTTTCTGTGCCATGGCAACCAACCCATTTATGCGAACTCTAAACTCTTCATATTCCCTCTGTATCAACACAAAGACAAAACCAGATATAGAAAATCCTTGTTTAGAACCAACCCGAACTTCAATATGGGAACAGTCATAAGCTTAGCATTTCCTATACTAAATCCAAATATGTGACTTCCATTCCTACCAGATGATGCTAATAACTATCTTTCGCATTCTAGTTAATACATTTAAGAGCATCTCAATTTCTACAGATGTTAAGACAAGGAAAAATTTTACAAGGAGAAAAGCTCCAAACCTTCATGGCACGACGTTCCCTCACAAATGTCGGATCTACTTTATTTTTTAAATAGTCAACCTTCTGGGCAAAATACCACTCTGGAGCCCGGGGCTCAATACTGAACTTCTTGCAGAATGGGACCCATTTTCTAGCAAACTCAGATGTCTCAGAGAGGGCTTCAAAAGTGAGCATGGCAGCACCATCATCTGAGACATAGCATGCAACTTTGTCCACGGGATAATCTACAGCAAGGATGGAAAGAACCGTGTTTGCAGTGATAAGTGGAGGCTCTTTCATAGGATCAACTGTACTTACAAATATGTCTATATCAGCTAACTCAGATGGCTTTCCTTCTTTCTCATACCTGAAAAAATTGTTAGAAATCAGATTTCTAATTTTTCATAACACAAAAACACGCATAAAGGACAGAGATAGAGGCAATACCTCAATGACAAGCGGTCAAGGTATGTTTCTCGTACAATTGGGTACCATTTTGGAAACTGATCAAATATCCAAGAAACAGCAAACCATATTTCACAAATTACTGATAGTAGCCACAGCCAATAAGCATCATGGACTGGATGGAGAAGTCTATAGTGGAAAAACAGGCCAAGAATCGCAAGCCGGATTATAATAACGATTCTGTATGGATTTATCTTGCTTGAAGGTATAGGTAGTTTTCTTGAGAGTGGCTGCCTGCCTTCATCCATCCTATAAAAGCATTGTACAAATGTTAAAACTTCCTCAATAAATTAAGAGAAGAAGACAAAAACAGAAACATCAGAGTGTAGACTTAGTTGTGTATTACTTTAGTACTTAAACCATGAGAAGCATGCCCTAAATCATCAAATCCTAGTACCTCTGATGTGCAGAAATCAGATATCTTACTATTCACAAGGCTTAAAATAGTCCAAATCATTAGTTACAAAACAAGATGGGCCTACTTCAATTTTTTATCAACTGTAAAGCAATAAGACAGTTCATGCTTTACTACAGACCAAATATTATGTTTTGTGCAGACGACAGATTTTCTTCTGAAGATGATGCTAACAATATACTTTCACTTGATTGATTGTGAAGATGCAGGAAGTGAAGAAAACTAAAGGCCAGAAGTACATAGCATTTGCAAGAAAAAATAATTGTTTTCATTATAACTTCTATGTTTTATGAGAATTGTCATAAGCACACATCTCTGAAAGGGTTGTCCACTAATGTCAGTAAATAAATTATAGTCTTGTCTAGAATCCTTAACACTTAAAGGCACAATATAAGATCTGTATGAAATTGGAAAACCATTCGCTTAAAGGGGCATTAGTTAATCCAGCAGAGTAGGAAGCTAGAATGACTAGGGAATACCAATATGCATGTATGACCAGTCACACTTTGATTAAAGCAGCTAATTTCCAGTGTAAATCACGTGTCAGTTATTATATTACCTAATAAAAGAAAATAAAAAATTGATTAAAAGAAAGTTACATACTTAAGCTCATAAAAATAAAACTCAACTAACTCCTAGCAATGTACTAATTTTATAAAGGGTGCAAGACAAATACACCTACATGGGCAAATCAGGGTCATCCAGTCCATCCCCATCATTGTTTCCATCACCTTTTCCTCCTTCATGCTTGACAACTTGAAATTTTTCATTTTGCTTTTTCTTCCACTCCTCCATTCGCTCCTTCCATGCAACAGTTCCATAGCCATATACTGCCAAATCTTTTTTAGGATCCATAGGTCTGGGAGGCACTGTAACAGCAATGTCAACATATGAACACTAAGTGACAAAGAAACTTGCCTGGAGACCCATAACATTCACAACAGTGATCGCCAACATTACAAGTGATGATATTCAACAAACTTACAAGTCATAGATGAATCAGGAAATGCCATCGGATGAACCCGCTTTCCATGACCCATAAATGGTGGAATAATAAGAGCATGCTTATCAGAGGAAATCCCAACATCCTTCATCAATAACAATCACTATTAGACGCATGAATTACAATGAATTATAATTAAAGACATCTGACCAATTGCAAGACACTAAATTTAATCTACCTCTTGGCCGTAGGTCAGAAGAGGGATCTCTCCAGCAACAGAAGCAGAATCCACCTCTGATGGTGTAGTGACTCTGCCTTGGGAACCACGACCGGTATTAAGGCGTGCAGAGAGCATGGCCTCAGCAATGTTGTGAGGATCTCTTCTATCATTGCTACCAATATCAAACTCATTCTCCAAATCATCAGTATCATCTTCTTCTTCATCCCCTTCTACTCTGGGACTCCCTACACATTTCAATAAAAAATTGCTAGAGAAAAGAATTGCTACAGGGGTTTTCTTATAGACAATGAAACAGTTGACCAAAATGATAGTGAGAGGCTAACCTTTCAAGCGCTTGTATCTTGTTTTGCATTGAGGGCAGGCTTGATTGCCCTCTCTTCTTTCATATTCATAGCAGGGCCTACACACAGGGAATGCACATTCATTACAGGCAACAAATGGCTCCCCATTGTCCGCTATTTCTATTTCATCCCCACAGATCTGGCAAATCTGACCGCTCAATTCTTTAACAGACGTTACCTGCAATTCACAATAACCATGGCAAAGTTCATCAACATTGGAACACCAAACGGAAGATTGAAGATAAACATGAATTACAACTAATTTCAATAAGAACATACATATTTATTGAGATTCTCATGCAAAACCAAAGATACAAAATTTTATGCAGAGATTTCATTAACTGGCACTGAAATCTAGAAAAAAAATAATGAACGAAAGCACTTTTACTTAAAATCCAGCCAACATATGAGAAAAAAGAAATTAGACATTTTTCAGCTGAAACATAATCCAAATACCCTTAACAAATTCAGTTTTTTAAGCCAAAATATGAACACTGCTATCAGCAAAATATTTTGCAAAACAGTTAGACAGAAAAAATCAACATATCAATCGATTTAATTGCTAATGTGAGTTGATTTCGGACCAAATCTTCGTAAAAAAACTGTCCATGAGCAAACGGGCACCTTCAATATCCCAAAAGAAGAAAAAAAATCTAACTTCCACAATCTAAAACAAGAAACATAAAAGGAGCACACCTTTAAGGCCCTCACTCCCTCAATCTTTCAACAACGCAGTTAAACAGCAGCAGAAGAAGAAGAAGAAGAAGAGGAAGAGAGCACTTACTCTTGCAACCTCATCGGCATTGATAAGAACAAACTCATTCCTGTTATGAGAACCTGCAATAAGCCTCCCGTTGGTGGCCATTAATTCACAACACGCACTCAATGCCCCTCAAAACAAAAACAAACGCACTTCACGAAAAAAAAATCACTCTTTCATCACTCACAGCTCGCCAAGAGCCCACCTTTGCTTTACCTTCTCTCTCTCTTCCTCACTCCCTCGGTCTATATAAATGCAAATGCAAAGCTGTGATTTTTGCTCATTCTATAATGTGGGGTTGGTGTTGGTCTTCCTTGTAATGGGTGCCTCCCAGAGTGGGCTAAAACTATTAACACAGACTCACACAAACTCGATACTAATAAGCAACAAACTATGATGTGTCATTGCTATAAAATAAATTAAATATAAAAAATAAAAAAATAAAAGTCTTTGTTTTGTTTCTCTGTGTAGTGTTTTGATTGATTCGTTTCTTGAGAGACCCTTTTGCTTTCTTGATCCGTGACACGAGATTTTGATCAAAATTTCCTTTTTTTTTTTTCTTTTTCTACAGAGAATCTAAACATAAATTCAATTCAACGCAACACAAACAAACAGTATTTTTTTTTTTTTACGGTGTACTACACTCACATGGGATGGAAACAGAGCTACTGGTGGTGGCGGGGCCCACCATCCAGCGGACGGTGGTGATTGGTGGTGATGAAGGGTAGTTTGGTAATTTTGTGTGTGTTTTGTGCTGCTTAGTTTTGTGTTTTGACGATAATGATGTTTTATGTTTCACGGTTTTGCTGTGGGTGTGTTGTTGCCAAAACTAAAGAGAGTGTAAAAGAATAAATCAAACGTCACGTGCGGCTCGTGCGAGTAAGGAGTGCGGGAGAGGAGAAGACTCAAGACAGATCGTGTCCGAGAATTCTGTAAAATCTCGTGAGAAATGTGAAGGAACTCATTCTTTGCACTTTCGTGTTTTGACCAAATTACCCTTCTACCAGCTAATTTGTTGGGGGTCAACATATATATATATATATATATTACACTATTATTATTACATATATGTGTTCTTACATAAACCAATTTTTTTTTAAACATTAAAATATAATATTTTAAGCTATTCTTATTTCTCAAATATTTATAACATTAACTTTATAAAAAAATATAATTTACATATATATATATATAAAATATCTATGTTTTGTTTAAAATTGTACAAATATTTTTATTTTTATTTTTAGGATGATTTTGTGATAAGTGATGGGATTGAATGTGAATGTGGGGAACCTAACTTACCTTATTGACCAAGACAACCTAAAAGGTAGGTAATAAATTGGAAAATAATGATAATAAAGGTTACAATAGGTGTCCTACTTTTACTGGGTTTGTGCTCTTAATTTTATGGGAATGTATCTTCGAAGAGAAGAATAGGGTATACTTTTTTAGTTGTGGAGACTAATAATATATTTAATTTATAGCATTAATTTTTATAATTAGAAAAATATATGTTATGTTTATGTTTGTTTAAATATTTCCAAGGTAACTTGTGAGTTTGTAAATATTGTCATAAAGAACTAAAAATAAACGGTCACCATTTAGAGCTCAAATAAAACGTGATATTTAAGGCTCAATTAAAAAAAAAAATAATTTGTTATATTTTTAAATGAAAAATAGCTAAATATATGGTTTTAAATTTTCTACAAACCCTGATTGGGTTTTTTTAAGTTGACATAATAATCTCTTAAAATAATAGAAATATTATAAGAATATAAAACCTTATTATAGGATTAAAATTTTCTCACTTATTTTCTAAACCAACTTGATGTTTGAATTTACAAAAATACACTTTATTATTATTTTTTATATAATTTAATTAAAATTAAAGGCATGGGAATTTCTGGATAATTTTAAATGTCTGCCCTCTAGTATAAGGTATAAATAATATAGGTGTACCTAATAATACAGTAGGTTAAAACTAATACATACCTAATCTCTTGACATTTAATATTCCAAAAGCAAGAATTTAGAATTACAGCTAAATAAATAATAAATAATTTATAAGGTATATTCTTTTGTTTTTATTGCTCCTCCAGGTGTCGGCAGCGGCAGCATGCAATTTATTAATTTTGTACTACCGAAAGTTTGGCCTTGTTAATTAAATTTACCTCGTTTCAATTATATTTATTAAACCCCATAAAAAAAAAATAATCCTTCTTATAATTAAATAACTAATATTTTTTTTATTTATTTAACGAACAAACTTCTGTATTAATTTCTACGTTTCTACCCCAAATCCAATCTAATGGGTAACTAATCCTTCTTAATTTACTCTACCTTGTAGATTTAGAATTACATTAATTAATTATTGGTTCAAATAACTAATCTCAATTAGGTCAAACGTTGATATCCCAACAGAAAATTAATATTTTAATTATAAATTTTTTATCAGTTTGCAGCACGATATATATATCTATATATATATAGTCTGCCAAGACAATTTCATTTTAACTAACGCAGTAGAACGTGTTATAATTAATTAATCAAGTTAATCAAACCAGAATCGATTTTAATTAATTGGTTTTGTTGGTGTCATCTCTATGAAATGAATCCTGCAACTAAAGCTTACACAGAGTGTTTCAATTTTATAATCGAAAATAAAAGATATTATTTATGTAATCCAACTGCGTAATCAGGTTTAGAAGAATCTTAATTAAATAACAGTGGTTGATCAGTAATATTTTATACTTCCACAAAAGGCTTTTCCTATACTTATTATAGCCAGGTGACAAACTCTTTTTTCTTTTTTTTTTTTTTTAATGATAAGAAGTATTTACATCAGTTTCAGCATATTTTAATTGATTTTTCAGAATCCTAAAATTACTAATTATATAAGAGTTATAGTAATCACTCTTATTAGTAATTGTGAGAACTCGATCATGTTAAATTATCTTTTACTCTTTTACCATTAAATCGGTCCGTGATTGTTTTGATTAATCCATATAATCAACGTTAACTAACTATAATGGGCAAACGTTACAATCCCAGCAAGAAACCAAAAACCTTAACCCAATTCAGTGGGAAATAGAATAGATGCAAAGATATGTGAAGAAAAAATCAAGAGGAATGTCAGAGATATTTGTGAATTGAAATGTGTCAGATGAGCATAGTCTAATTTAATTGCAAAAATTAAAATTGAACAAGTGGGTCAAAAGATGCCTCTTTTTCGGGTGGCCTGTCTTTTTTATTTTAATTTTTGGACCAAACGTATCTTAGATTGGGACCCTTCTTGCCTCTTTCTTTCACAATTAATATTAATTATTTTTATTTATTTATTCATCATAATAATAATAATTTTCAATAAATCCTGACTCTCATTAATTCAATTCTGATAATGGCAGGCTGTGCTGCTGGTACATCAACGATTTAATCTGTTTAAAATATAAAAAGTATAATATTAAAATTTTCGGATCTTCAATAATGATATTAGAGCGATTGATTTACGTGATTCGGATCCGAGACATTTACGAAATTTATGAACTATCCATTAAATAATTAAATATCATAAAAACACATCTCATTTACTAGAGTTAACCATCTTCGATTTCCTCATCATCACTATTTCATAATTAGGTTATAGTGATAATTTTTTTATAGATATGTAAGATATTCGGGTCTTGATTAAATGTTGAGATAAAATTATTTGATACTTTTATTTTGAACGACGAAGAATGTCATTCAATAATATAATTATTTAATTATAATAATTTCATTTAAGTAATACTAATACTAAAAAGGAATGTTAGAAATTACATTCCTTTATTAGAAAAGCCGTGAATAAAAAAATAAAACCAATTAGATTTAATGCGCATGCTAATAAAATCTCAAAAAACATATATGAGATTATATATCTAATTATTTAATTATACTAATTTCAACAACCATTTTGATCATATAATATATACAAAAGAGGATTTAAAAATATAATCTGAGGGGAATATGAAATAGTCTTAAAGAAGGTAAAGGGTCGCTTTATATTGATGTCAATTTGGCATTAAAGTTAACAACAGAAACGTGGCATTTGATATTTTCAATTTTCTAATGGATGGGATTGTTGTATTATTGAAGGTATTCAGTGTAACTTGCTGCTTGTCCTTAATCCACCGACGATTTGTCTTTTATTTATTCAATTTTTCAAATTTTAGGTGACAATTATCAATCATGTTTATACAAATTTCAATAGAATTCTTATAATTCATGATTAGTTTTTGGTTTAATTATATAAATCAATTTCAATTTGTTAAAACTATATAAAGTAGTGATAAAGATTGATTTGTAACTTCATGATTAGTTGAGGTACACGCAAGTTAGTCCGGACACTCCCAATTTAAAAAAAAAAAACTACCATTAGATGATTGAGTGATTCATTAGGATTCTTGAATGTATTACTCAAGAGGACTGTTAACAGGATGACTACTGGAGGCTTATGCGATCGTTAACTTTAAGGTTTTGGAGAATTAATTGAGGTGTGCGTAAGTTAGCTTAAACACCTCGATAAAAAACCAAAAAAAAAAAATTTGATTTGAAATTATGTAATCTTGTCTCAGTTATCATTTTATTGGGATAATTCATAAATTTTTGTTGTTCAGTCAATCCCTATCGTCAATTATGAAATAGACATTTCATAATTTTATATGGCTACAAAATTTTTGGTCAATATGGAAATATATTGATCACAAGTTTATAGCTCAAGAGTGTCGGTGATGTTATTATCTTCATTACTTTTGAAGTATAAAGTTTTCAATAAAGTTTGTTGATGCAAAGACTAATTTGATGAATCTAATAATGCAATAAGGTATCACTTTCTAATAAGTTGATAACATTACTATTCTTTAAAAATTGTTATATTAACATCTCAAAAGGAATTGTTTGTAAAATTAAATTATGAGTTGATAACAGACCATTGTAGTTTTTTGTAAAATTAAATTATGAGTTGATAACAGACCATTGTAGTTTATGAGACAAAACTTAGTAGAAGAGGAAAGGGCAAATAAAATAGGACAAAAAGCAAAAGGAGTCCATGACTGTGAAAAACGTGGATCTGGGGATTCGGCTTTTTGAGAAATCTTTTGTTGAACTCAAGTCTACAATGGTCCAATCGTCCCATAATCACAAAAAGGAACCCAATAAGTTTTGGGTAATTTCCACTTCAAGATAAACCGATTATTCCTCAATGGAAGCCTAGAAAATTTATGAAAATTTTGGGTAGTCATTCAAACATTTGATGGCTAATAG